ACTGCCTGTTGGAAAATAAATGCCTCACAAAATCTGTGGTATACCAGTGCACTATCTCATCCATTGAGGGTCCTAACACTGATAGGATATACATAGGCTCAACAAAGAATAATTTTAAAATTAGATGGAGGCAACACAAGAGCTCCTTCAACAATATTCAAAATAGAAATCAGACATCTCTATCCCAATATTTCTGGCATCTAAAAGAAACGAATAAAACACCAAAAGTAAAATGGAAAATAATAAATAAAACAAGAACCTGTAAAACCTGGGATGACCCATGCCCTTTATGCTTACAGGAAAAACTACACATCATTAAATTTCTAAATAATGAAAAATTATTAAACCATAGGCAGGAGTTAACGGTTTTTTGCAGACATCAACAAACTTTCAACAAACAGGTTACACGTAAGATTTCATTTTGAAGATTTTTTTTTTCACTGCTCTTTGAACTGTCATATCTGAAACCTCTCTCACATGCCAAATATCTTATGGATTGAGTTGGATCTTTTCTAATTGATCTCTTTAGCTGTAAGTTGAAATGATGATCCCCCTTCCTGTTGTAACCTGATCCAGTTTTCCTCTCTAATGTTACTTTTTTTTTTTTTTCAACTTATTCATCATTCTCTTGATGGTTCTTGAATGGGCTTTGAAGATGGAAGTCAGAGTCTGAATATTGTCACCATTATTGAAAGCCTGAATGATCTTTTTCCTTTCACCATTTCTCAGTTGGGAAGACATCATGGGGATGACACAAAACGATTTTAAACTGTTCTCTTTCTAGCTGAATAATTCAAAGGGTTTTTCAGTGATTCTTATGAAAAATGGTGTCAAGATGGCTGAATGTCTTATCTGAAAACCTGAACAAAAGAAACTCAATTAGTTTCATGTTTTTTTTTTTTTTTAGATATTAAATATTTTGTGTGATCGACAACTAGGCTATTGCAGGATTTGGACAATTTTGCTGTTATACCTGGTATATACACAGTAATAAATAAAATTAAATGTTGATTTATTATTAATTTTATTTATTACCAATGCTCTTTCTCTTGATATCAAGCACTAAAAATATTCTGTTCCAGAAAAACCTGGTCAACCATTTTTTTCTTTTTCTTCAAGTTCAAATTCCAGTTGGGTTCGTTATATTTACTTACTGTTGTAGAGTAGTTTTCACAGTGGAGGCTTGTATTTCACTAAGTCGGTTCTAAAAAAGGTTCAACGTACAAAACGTTAGGAACTTGAAATAATAGTTAATGACACATCAAGCTAGTTGTGGTGGTTGATACTTTAATTTCCAACATCAATTGATACACCAACTCCACTGAGCCCCCTGGCGACTGCTACTACTACTACTTATTATATCTGGGAGAGTCTATTTACAATAGAATAGGTTTGATCTAGTATAACACTTACACACAAATAGCTTTGAGAAAAGTATGAATTAATCCCCTCCCCACTTTGATATGGGTTAAATAGTTGGACTTGTATCAGGAACAAATTATTGTTATTCTCAAAAAATTCTTAATATTCACTCACAAAAATAAAGAATTATTCTTACAATGCAAAAAATATGTTTCGGCTTTAAATAACCCACAAAAGGATTTTACAAGCTGTAAAAGGATTTTACAGGCTGTACTGGATTTTACAAGCTGTAAAAATGAAACCAATCCAACCCTTGATGCAAGCATAATACTGGTTATGGAGATTGGGTAGTTTTATCATCATATATACATGTTTGGTCACCCCCATTTTAACCCTATAGCATTCAATATGCCCAAACCCTTTATTTAAGAGCTGACATTTATGAAGTGGGTTGAATGCTAAAGGGTTAACTCAACCATGCATCACAGGCTAGGGACTGAGAGTAACTTCAGTTCTTTTGTAGCTGTGTTCATGTCTACAGAGGTTATTCAATACTGTCTTTATCTTGAGGTTGGATGTAACATGGCAAATCTGATTCTAAATCCAGAGAAGCACTTCCTTCCTTCAGTGCCATGCATGATATAATGATTGGTATCTTTTCAATTCATGATTAACTTGGCAGAAGAATTCTCACATTAAGCTACCATTATATTCTGCAGTAGACTTGTTGCCAACCAAGGCTATAGAAGCCAGTCTGTTCTGCTATTTAACCCATAGCTGGGGGGAGAAAAGACAGATTCATACCTTTCTCAAGGGTATTTGCATCTAAATGATTGTAATAAACTTCACTCTCTGATTTCTCATTCCAAGCTGTTAACCACCACACCACTCACACATCCAAGTCTACAGCACGTTCTCAAGCAGTCAGATCTACATACTAACCAGACTCAATGTTGCTTAACTTTGGTGATCAGACAAGAACTGGTGTTTCAACATAAGTCAGGAAAGCACTTAACCATTACATAAAATTGACAGGGCTAGTGTGCACTACCCACAAACTGCCTGTGGGAGAGATACCTGATTGGGGGGCCTGTGGCAGTGATTTGTGATCATCGCAATCTTAACAACATTTGATTTTTTTTTCTACCTACATTTTCCCAAAGGTTTTTGCACATAAGTGAATGTAATGAACCCAATTGGAATTCAAACTTGGCTCTCCAATTTCATATTCAGAGCCCTTTTCCATTACACTAAGCTTTAATATGCCTCTTCTACCCCACCCTGTTTATGGGTTAAAATAGTAAGACTTTTATCTGAAAACCATTATTATCTCCAAGAAATTGTTAATACAATATTCACTTACTAAAAAAATATACAGTAATTCCCCATGTATAATACGCATTTTTTTCTAAAAAATAATAAGCAGAATCAGGGGTGCGTATTATGCACAGCTACAAAAAAATCTTTAAAAAATTGCCATTTCATAGGTCAATTTCAGTTACAAAATGACTATTCATCCCAAACATGACAATTTGACACTGACATTTGGTGAATGCGACCCCATAAGAATGTCAAAAACAATCATATGTACCTAACAATACTTACAAATATAAAATAAGAATTATCATAAAACTAAATTAGAATAATATTATTCTATTATTAAACCTTTTTTTTGTAAAGAGTAGGAAACGCTAGGCATAATGATATTGAAGAGGTCCATTTTATAAGGTTTGATTACGAAACCAGGGGTGCATATTATGCGTGAGTAGAAGCATTTTCCCACACTTTCAGCACAATTTTAGGGGTGAATATTATAGATGAAGGTGTATTATACATAGGGAATTATGGTAATTAGTCTTGCAATCTGAAAATGACATTTGAAAAAACAATGTTTCATAACTCTTATCCACACCTTAAGAATAATAACTTGAACATTCCTGCTCATAAATCACCCTTAAAGAAATGATAAACTCTAATTTTTGGAAGTCAATGTTAAATTTTGAAAACATTTTAACTATATGCAAGGTCAGAGCATACTACCCCAAAACCCCACATTCAGGATGGGACTAATCTTGATAGGGGGCTCCAAGCAGTACTTTGTGAATCTTACTATTTTACCATCAACTGATTTTTTTCTACCTTCATTTATATACGTTACAAATTAAAATAAGGACAACTGAATATTAAAGGATGAAATTTTTTATTAGGTTTTAATGTCATTCTGTGGTCTTTTTTTCGTGTAAAAATCTATGAATCTGTTTTGCTCATGCTTAGTTGAAAAAAACACTATATCCACCACAAGGAAATTTTTTCTTGCCCTTCAAATTTATAAATCAACCATTCACCCTTGCATGGAATACTGCTGCCATATATGGTCTAGAGCCCCCACTGTTCGTCTTAAGGTTCTCGACAAAATCCAGAGACAAATATGCAATGTGGTCAGCCCTGATCTGGCATCTCATCTACAGTTGCTCTCTCAGATGTACTGTCACCTCCCTCTGTCTTTTCTACAAATACTTTCATGGTAACTGCTCCAACAAGCTACTTTCGCTAGTTTCCAGACTGCATGAATTTAAACGTGCAACTAGGCTGGCATCTCGATCCCACCCTTTCACTGTCAAAACAGTTAAATGTAGCCATTTCTTCTACTTCAATAGCTTTATGTCTCGCACCTCCCATCTGTGGAATTTTCTTCCTATTACTTGATTCCCTGATAACTATAATCTCCAACTATTCAAATGTAATGTCAATCAACATCTCCAGATGCCTTGATCTAATTTTCCATCCTTCTCGCCATCCTTTCCTCTATCATGCCTCTTTACACTTGCTCACACTCTCTGTAACCCCTTGCGTCCTTGTGGCATTCCGCCTTGCTTGGGGTGAAATACTTAAAAAAAAAAAATAAAATTCACTATATTTTATCCATAATATTGAATGTGTTAAAATTATTCAAATTTTTGACAAGAAAAATCTCAAGTTGATTTTAAAAATCATTACAAAACATTTTTGATTTATTTAAGATGGAATGATCTATTATGACATGTCTCTAATTTGTATTTAGATACATTGTATTTTCAATTTTTCTCGTTGAATTGTTCACCTATTTTTCATATAGTCCCTTATTGTACATAATTAGGTTACAATAAAATTTGTATTTTATATGTATTATACTCCCTTATGAAAATTGAGATATAGTATAGTGGAGAGGGGTGCGTATCATAGATTGAGTGGGGGGAGGAGTCCCTTGCACCGGTCATGAATTGGCATATTCTGATGCTTTCATGACATATAGCATATGGCATGTGGACCTCAACATTGGATCAGAATGTTGTATCTGTTTGCTCTTCTAAGAATGAAAATGTCTTTTGCCAGCTCTTTGTCAAATATCAGAGCGATGTGTCTGTCTGCTCTTCTAAGAATCAAAATGTTTTTTGACAGCTCTTTGTCAAATATCAGAGCGATGTGTCTGTCTGCTCTTCTAAGAATCAAAATGTTTTTTGACAGCTCTTTGTCAAATATCAGAGTGTGGTATCTGCAATATGGAAAGTGTTAAACATACAAATTAGATTCACTCTGGATTTTCTGCCCTGTTTGCTCTTGTTCTTCTTGTAGACAAATCTTGGCTTTTATGTTTGCGAATGTTTGCACATGTCATCCGTCTTGGAAAATAGTTCCTTTTTAGCTGTTCATCTTCTCTAGACATGGTAGTTATTTTAATTTGATTCCAATTGTGGGGTCCTTTCTTTCTTTACTGCCACTTCATGGCTAGGGTGTTTTTTTTTTCTTTTCTTTACTATTTCTGATTTTATTTTTACTTTCCTCACTTTTTCTCTTCAGTCACATCTGCCCTTTCAGCCTCTCTTTATTTGCTCTCTCTCTCCCTATCTCTTTTTTTCACCTTTTCATCTTTATTCTTTCTCTCTGTTTTCCTTTCTTTTTTTGTCTTTCCCTTCTCTTTTAACTCTCTTTCTATTTTCTGATATCTTTCTGTATATCTTTCTCTTTTATCAGTTCTTTTTGTCTCACTCTCTCTTATCATCTCATGTTCTCTTTACTTTTTGTTTCACTCTCTCTTATCATCTCATGTTCTCTTTACTTTTTATCTCACTCTCTCTTATCATCTCATGTTCTCTTTACTTTTTGTCTCACTCTCTCTTATCATCTCATGTTCTTTTTACTTTTTGTCTCTCTCTCTTATCATCTCATGTTCTCTTTACTTTTTATCTCTCTCTCTTATCATCTCATGTTCTCTTTACTTTTTGTCTCTCTCTCTTATCGTCTCATGTTCTCTTTACTTTTTTATCTCTCTCTCTTATCATCTCATGTTCTCTTTACTTTTTGTTTCTCTCTCTCTTATCATCTCATGTTTCTCTTTACTTTTTGTTTCCTCTCTCTTATCATCTCATGTTCTCTTTACTTTTTATCTCCTCTCTCTTATCATCTCATGTTCTCTTTACTTTTTGTCTCACTCTCTCTTATCATCTCATGTTCTTTTTACTTTTTGTCTCACTCTCTCTTATCATCTCATGTTCTCTTTACTTTTTATCTCACTCTCTCTTATCATCTCATGTTCTCTTTACTTTTTGTTTCACTCTCTCTTATCATCTCATGTTCTCTTTACTTTTTATCTCACTCTCTCTTATCATCTCATGTTCTCTTTACTTTTTATCTCACTCTCTCTTATCATCTCATGTTCTCTTTACTTTTTGTTTCACTCTCTCTTATCATCTCAGGTTCTCTTTACTTTTTGTCTCACTCTCTCTTATCATCTCATGTTCTCTTTACTTTTTGTTTCACTCTCTCTTATCATCTCAGGTTCTCTTTACTTTTTGTCTCACTCTCTCTTATCATCTCATGTTCTCTTTACTTTTTGTTTCACTCTCTCTTATCGTCTCATGTTCTCTTTACTTTTTGTTTCACTCTCTCTTATCGTCTCATGTTCTCTTTACTTTTTATCTCACTCTCTCTTATCATCTCATGTTCTCTTTACTTTTTATCTAACTCTCTCTTATCATCTCATGTTCTCTTTACTTTTTATCTCACTCTCTCTTATCATCTCATGTTCTCTTTACTTTTTGTTTCACTCTCTCTTATCGTCTCATGTTCTCTTTACTTTTTATCTCACTCTCTCTTATCATCTCATGTTCTCTTTACTTTTTGTTTCACTCTCTCTTATCATCTCATGTTCTCTTTACTTTTTTATCTCACTCTCTCTTATCATCTTTTTCTCTTTTACTTTTATCTCTCTCTTATCATCTCATGTTTTTTACTTTTTATCTCACTCTCTCTTATCATCTCATGTTCTCTTTACTTTTTGTTTCCTCTCTCTTATCATCTCATGTTCTCTTTTTTACTTTTGTTTCACTCTCTTATCGTCTTGTTCTCTTTACTTTTTTGTCTCACTCTCTCTTATCGTCTCATGTTCTCTTTACTTTTTGTTTCACTCTCTTATCGTCTCATGTTCTCTTTACTTTTTATCTCACTCTCTCTTATCATCTCATGTTCTCTTTACTTTTTATCTCACTCTCTCTTATCATCTCATGTTCTCTTTACTTTTTATCTCACTCTCTCTTATCATCTCACTCTCTCTTATCATCTCAGGTTCTCTTTACTTTTTGTCTCACTCTCTCTTATCATCTCAGGTTCTCTTTACTTTTTGTCTCACTCTCTCTTATCATATCAGGTTCTCTTTACTTTTTGTCTCACTCTCATTTCTATTTCATTTTGTCTTTTTTCTCTGTCATTTTATCTCTCAACAATTCCTTTTTCTCTCTCTCCCATTTTTTCTCTTTCTCTCTTTTTGTCTCTCTCTTCCATCTCTTTTTGTCTCCCTCTCTCTCATTCATCTTTTTTGATTCCCTCTCCTTCTTCCTACCACTCTTGTCTCTCTCTTTCTTTCATCTCTTTTTGTCTCCCTCTTTCTCTTTCATCTCTTTTTGTCTCCCTCTTTCTCTTTCATCTCTTTTTGTCTCCCTCTTTCTCTTTCATCTTTTTGTCTCCCTCTCTCTCTCTTTCATCTTTTTGTCTCCCTCTCTCTCTTTTTCATCTCTTTTTGTCTCCCTCTCTTTCTTTCATCTCTTTTTGTCTCCCTCTCTTTCTTTCATCTCTTTTTGTCTCCCGCTCTTTCTTTCATCTTTTTGTCTCCTCTCTCTTTCTTTCATCTCTTTTTGTCTCCTCTCTTTCATCTTTTTGTCTCCTCTCTCTTTCTTTCATCTCTTTTTGTCTCCCTCTCTCTCTTTTTCATCTCTTTTTGTCTCCCTCTCTCTCTTTTTCATCTCTTTTGTCTCCCTCTCTCTGTCTCTTTTTCATCTTTTTGTTTCCCTATCTCTCTCTCTCATCTCTTTTTTCTCCCTTGCTTTCTTTTGTCTCTTTTTTGATTCCCTCTCCCTCTTCCAATCACTCTTGTTTCCCTCTCTCACTTTCTTCACCAATTTTGTCTCCTTATCTCTTTTCATGTTTGTTTCCCTCACTCTTTTGTTTCTTTCTCTCTCTCTCTCTCTCCACTCTCTCTTTTTATCTGACTCTCTTTTTTTACCCCCCCTTTTCTGAACTCTCTCTCTTTCATTTCATCCTTTCTGTTACTTTCTGCCCATCTCTTTTTGGCTATCTCACTTTCTCTTTCTCTACCTTCCATCGTCTCTTCCTTCACTGTATATCCATTGTTACTCCCTCGTTCTTTATCCCACCCTGCAATCTACCTCCCGCCCACTCTACATGATATGTCATTCACTTGACTGCTTCTTCGCTGGTCAAACTGACATCGCACTCTTCTGCCGTTACTGACTTTTGCAAAGGACAAGAACATTAAAAAGAGAAAGAACATAACTCTTGAAACCGTTAGGAGTGCCAATTGGATGAAACAAACATTTTATTTAGAAGTAGAACAGTTAATTACTCTGATTATGTCATTCGTTAAGAAAAACAAATTACACAAAATCATTCCTTTGCTTTCTATTGAGTACTAGTAAGGCTACTCAACACTGCACAGTTTAAAATGGCTTCCAAAATGAAGTTACACTCCTTTGGCCTTATTAACTCCCACCAGAAACAAATTTGATCCAGAAATGAGAGCCAGGATTTTATAACTTTTACAATTTTCTAAAACAAAACCATTGAATAACTACAAATTGATGAGTTTGCTTGTTTTGTTCGCACCCACAAACATACACACATACACACACACACACACACACATATATATATAAATAAACTTTGGAAAAAACAAACAAAAATCCTTAAATGCAATTATGTTGTTTAAAATGAATGAAATGTGACGACAACGTGACCACGTTAAATGGAAAGCTGATCATTTTAAAAATTTTCAGTTATCTGTTTTGGATAAAACTTGTGTTTTTTATGTCCATCGTCTTTGTTAAATTGAACTGAATTGTAATGAATATTGTCTTGAAAAAGGTTTATTAAACCGAAACGTCAGACGTCGACATTTCATTCATTTTAAACAACATAATTGCATTTAAGGATTTTTGTTTATTTTTTCCAAAGTTTTTTTTCATTCTGTCAGATTTATATCCATTTACATTTGCATATATATATATATATATATATATATATATATATATATATATAAATATACATTATAGATGAAAGACAACAGTGAAAAGTGTCTGCTATATATATATATATATATATATATATATATATATATATAGATAGATAGATATATTTAAAAATATACATTATAGATGAAAGACAACAGTGAAAAGTGTCTCTATATATATATATATATATATATATATATATATATATGATGGAATCTCCCATCAATTGACACTTTAGTCCCACCAGTGACCTGCATACAAGTCTACATATTGTGCAACAGCGAAGGACTCGGTACATAGCAACAGGAATATTTGCTGACACTTTTCACTGCCGTCTTTCATTTTTTATCTGACCTATAAAACTGATTTAAAAATTTCTGATACCAGTGAGAGAAGGGTGTGAATACTGAAAATCAAATAAAATATTACTAGTGAAAAAATAAAAAAAATTTAAAAAATGAAGGGTGTTGTGGAGTAAATAGCACAACCCCGGTAACACAAATGAACTAGGCAAGACACCTTAAATAAAGAACTCAAGGTGAGTCAGTAGAAGTCCATGGGAGTCAGGCAGTCTGCTGTCTGTCTCACTATTGACAAGCTGTCTGTCTTCAGGTAGAGTATGACTCAGCCAGAGCTCTGTCTGCAGACAGAGCTCTGGCTGAGAAAAATAGACAATGCGAAATGCCTGATCACATAGTTGCGGGCAGGGTAAATTTTGATCTTTGGCTCAAGTGTACGCACTCAGCTTCCCCACACTAAACTTGACCTTGTGTCACATCTTGCCTCAGTGGGGAGACTGGGTAAATATCAGACTGTTGGAGTCAGTTGGACAGAATTCTAATGATGTCATGGAAAGTAGCCTGAGCAAGACATAATATCATAACTGCTAGGTGTGAGTTATAGCAAGATGTCATTAAAAAGATTTTCTACTTTTTTGAGACTAAGTAAAAAGAATAAAAATGTAAAAGCTAACACTCAATATCATCAACTATGAATACAAAAACAACGTGACTGTGTTTGGAAAATAAAAAAAAAAAACATTGCCATCACTATAGATACATATATAAAAATCTACTTATTCAGTGAAAACTAAAACTAAAACATCTTTGTTAATGGCTAATAAATAAGTGAAAGCATTCAGATATAGAGGATATTTGAACAGTTTTTACACAATTTATATCCAGAAAAGAAAACACTTATATAAACACAAGAAAAATGAAACAAAAAGCTTAATAGATGTACCATGTCAGTTGTCTTTAATGAATCATGTATAAAAGAGGGATTGCTATCCAAATAAACAATTATATATATATATATATATATATATATATATATATATAGTTAAAAGTGGAGGTAAGGAACCAAGTGGCTACAGTCTGCTTCAGTGCAATCTTTGGGCCATGTCTTGAAGATTGCAATGAAGCATGAAACAGATGGTTGTCACTTGGTGTTAACCTCAACGTCCATTTGTCCATTTATACGAGGTGCTGAAAAGTTTGCAGCCTAGCCTACTTCCCATAATCTGACCAACTTAGTGAAATTTTAGAAAGCTCTCTCTCTCTCACAGACACACACTCACATACACAATATTATTAATATTAATGAAAAATAATCTACTTAGGGCAATGTTGCTTTCAAAATACTTCACTTTAACAGCCCTATTCAGATTACTTTACTTGGAACCTCACACACTTTGAATGAAACCTGGAGTAAGGGCCATATTTCTTTGAACCTTGTGGACTGGCACTACAGAATCATATGTACCAAATAACAGAAACCACATTACTTGAGGACTTTGAATAGAAGCTATAACTAAAATGTAATTCAAAAAGAGAATAATCGCATTATCAAAAACGTTGACATTTCAAACTACTTTAAACAAAAAGTAAAAAAGTGTAGATAATCAATTCTTCCTGGAGTTTAAATTCTTCAGATTGGTTCTGTTTTCAGTGCTGGCAGCCATTACACGACACACACCAAACTTTTGAAAAAAAATTCATAAAACTTTTTTTTCCAGATATATGTAAGAAGTCCTCATTGAAAAAACATTTCCTAAGAAAAGTCCTACTGACATTTGTTAAAGAAAGAAAAAGTTTAATGTTTCTATATTTCTTTTAATATTTTAGATGTTTTTTTTTTTTGTTGTTTTTTACTTTACTCATTTGATCACGCAAGTTGTCTGCTTGCCAGAGTTGCAACTTGCAATGAAATCAAGATACCCTGCTTCCCCGTCACCTGTTGATCAAACACAAAATACGTTGTTGTCATCACCCTCTCTGATTCTGCTCTCTATCCCCCATCCCAATGACTGCTTGTTCTTCACACCAAACTGCTCTGTTATCAGCATCCCTACAGCTTTTTATTAGTGCCAACCAATTTTTTTTTAAGACAAGCTTCACTTCCAGCAGAGAAGCCTACAAATAGACTTCAAATTAAAACCTTTGTCCGTCAACCTATTTAAAGACTTAAAAAAGGATGGCAACTCAGAAAGTCATATTTGTAGCTAATCAGTATTTGATTTTTGCAAGCTCATCTTACAATCAATTAGCACTAAAGCGAGTTCAATCCACACTAAGCACATTGTAACCTTGCTCCAGACTTAGATGAACTTATATAAATAATGCATCTTGACATAGGACAACAGTTAATAAACATAATAAACAGACTATTACTCCTGTAATGAATTTGATCTTTAATGAGAGCTCACTGGTTACCTTGTACCAGACTTGCAAACACTAATCTAAATAAATAATGCATGTTGCCATAGAGCAATGATTAATAAATATCATGAATTAATCATTATTCCTTTAATGAATATGATCTTTATCAAGAGCTCCTCATTTGTCACCTTGTGTCAGACTTAGCTAAGTTCAATAAATAATGCATTTTGACCTAGGACAGTATTTAATAAACATAATGAACAGACTATTACTCTTGTAATGAATTTAATCTTCACTGAGAGTTCCTCATTTTGGTTCTCGTTTAATACTCCTACACTTATGGCCTTATGCCAAACTAAGCTGAATTAATATCTAGGATACCTTGCCATTGAGCAGTGGTTAGCAAGCTAATTGTTTTTGTTATGAGTTTGATCCTCACTTTCAATGTGATTTTCTAATATAGATTTTCAAAGCAGGTAGTATTTGCTGAACCGATGCTGCACAGTCTTCCTGCCCTCATACCAAATATGATTATTTTCAGTAAGAGAGTTATAAATATGTTTATTGGTCTCACAAGTTAAAACCAATTAATTTAAAAAAAATTTCTTAACAAGTATGTGCAAAAAACACTAGTTCATGAATTTACTAGCATCAGAATTGTGAGTTCAATCCCAGAGCCAGGTAGTACAGACTTTAGACTCGGTGTAACAGGATGAGCAATAACTGAACAGAACTAAGAAAAACAAGATATCCCTAAACATGGGCAGGAAAATGAGAAAAATCTAAATAGATTAAATGAAGGGCTTAGTTTGAGATCATTTATGAAAGCAAAGCTGTAAGCCATCAAGATACCAAGGAGAAGAACTCATTAGAACAACAGCCATGAAAGTATTTATAGAAAAGACAGAAAAATTGACTGAAGTCAAGATGCCAGGTCAGAATAAATAACATCACAGACCCTTCCTTCTTTAGAATACATTGAGAATCTTGAGATATATAGCAGGAGCACCAGACCAGATATGGCAGCAACATTCAATGTATGAACAAATGGTAGATTTATAAATGTGCAAAATGGATTGTCAAGAAAAATTGATTTATCTGACACAGTGAACCAACCTTCTTTGTGGCAAACATAGGAATTTATTCAATATAATTATTCCACCATGTGAAACCAAGAAGTTGCTCTTCTGGAGGTTAACATCAGCCATGTTGATGGAGGGTAAAAATGGTTCTCTGTTATGATTAAATGATAGCAATATTGTTTTCTGAAGTGTTGCAATTTACAAGCCATTTCTTGCTCCAGTTAACAACTGGTTGTAGGTCATTTTCAAGAGCAGCTGCCAGTTTTACTTTGTCAGACCTATCAGATATATTATTAAGTCAGGAGTACCAGCCTATTAGCCTTCTATTGGGTTGGTGCATAATTATCAGGCGTTTTTAAACAATATTTATTATGAAGAAAGAAACATAACAATTCAACAATAACATTTTTAAATGAT